CATGGAGGATTACCAGAGCAACTACATCAACAGTTTGCCGAATTATCCGATCTATTTCGATATCATATCTGCTTTTACCAATGGCAGTGCGTCCCTCTTGGCGAAAACGGTGGAGAACATGAGAGTCTCGATTCCAGACGTCAATGCTATGACCTCCTTTTCTGAGAACCACGACAAGGCTCGAATTGGTAGCTATTCCGATGACATGGCGGTATGTGTGCGCTCTTCGGGTTGACTGATCGCTTTTGTTAATTATGATACTTGGCAGATGGCCAAAAACGTCCTAGTGTTCACCATGCTGTTTGATGGGATCCCAATGATATATCAAGGCCAAGAGCAACATCTGAAGGGAGATGGCGTGCCTCACAACCGAGAAGCCATCTGGCTCACCAAATACGACACCGAAACGGAGCTCTACAAGCTGATCGCAAAGCTGAATCGCATCCGGAACCACGCAGGCTACCTGGGCACTGACTACTTTGAGGACTCGACTCACACGATCTTCCAGGGGGGCAGTGAGCTTGCTTTCACCAAGGGTATCCAGGGTCGACAAGTAGTCATGGTGTTGTCCACTCAACCTTCGACTAGTGGACGCTACGACATCGACATGACAGTCAGCTACAATGCCGGCACGGTGGTGACAGATGTTCTAAACTGTAACAACTATACTGTCGACAACAAGGGCGTGCTGCGTGTCGACATGGACAAGGGAGAGCCCCGGGTTTTCTTCCCCACCCACTATATGGACGGCAGTGGCCTTTGTGGCTACTCTGACACGAACATTACCCTCGCGATGTTGAAGACTCACAGTGCTTCGACATCGACTGGAACTCAATTTACCAGTGGTACCGGTGTGGCTACCTTCCTGCTAGCAGTGGTGACCAGCATATTCGTTATGTTCCTTTGAAAGGAATGTCCCAAAGGCCTTCCTTCGCTCTTCCCTTCCTTCCTCCCTACTTCTTCTGATCGTTAATTTTTCCACTTTTTTTTCCATTTTTCCCCATTGCAGTGAGCCGTATTGATGGCTCGGCTTAGTTCGCGGAGATATCCTTCTATGTTCATATTTTTTTTTTGTCTTGTTGTTTTATTTTGGCGATATTCTTGGCCTTTTCCCTCTTCTTGCTACGTTGGCCTTCGTATCATTATGAGCTTTTTTCTTGATTTTCCGAAACTTTACGCATTATGGGCGCGGCAGCCAATGAGATCACCTGGGTGGAGTTTCTAGTTTCTAGAAAAGTTCCGGTGTTCCATGGATGAAATTTTCCTCTAACTGAGACATTTCAATAATTTCAGACTAATCATAATTGGAGATCCACCTACAAACCTGTGCCTTACCTTCGCCCGAGTAAAAATAGTCCACATCCCAGCCCTAGCCCCAAAATGGATGTGCATATTCTGCGGGTTATGTACATACATACAGCTTGACTTGTCATTTCCATTGCAACAATTCCGCGATGTCATTCCTGTGGTGTGGATCTCGACAGAAAGGCCAGAAATGGAAACAGATTGAAGGTCAGTCTTCCCCACTGGAAAACAGTTCCAACGTCTCACCTGAATACATGGTACAGAAGCAGCAGCGAATCTACAACAGCTGCCATCATGGACTGCTCCAGATAATTCGCTCATATTGCAAGCCTTTGAATGGCATGTTCCCGCCGACCGGAAGCATTGGCGTCGTCTGCAGCATTCCTTACCAGAGTACAAGGCCATTGGCGTCGATCAGATCTGGATTCCCCCAGGATGCAAGGGAATGGACGCTCATGGTAATGGCTATGACATCTACGACCTGTATGACCTGGGCGAGTTCGATCAGAAGGGCGCAGTTCCTACGAAATGGGGTACCAAGCGTGAACTTGAAGACCTGATGTGCCAAGCGCAAACCTTGGGCATTGGTGTAATCTGGGATGCTGTGCTCAATCACAAAGCTGGCGCGGATTATCCAGAGCCCTTTCAGGCCGTCAAGGTAGACCCTAAACGTGAGCCATCTTATCATTCTTTCTGTTGATGTTCAATTCATCATGGGTCCTCGGCCATATACTGACTCAATAAACAGGAAGAGATCTGAACATATCCAAGCCGACAGAAGTCAATGGCTGGACAGGCTTTGATTTCACCGGTCGCGGTGACATGTACAGCTCAATGAAGTATCACTGGCAACATTTCAGCGGCGTCGACTGGGATGACAAGAGCAAGCAAAGGGCAATCTACAAGATCGTCGCATCTAACAAGGATTGGGCGCAAGATGTCTCCACAGAGAATGGAAACTACGATTACCTGATGTTCGCCGATTTGGACCTTGCACACCCAGAAGTCCGGGCAGACCTCCTTCAATGGGGAACGTGGATCACCAAATCCCTATGCCTTAATGGAATGCGGCTTGATGCCGCTAAGCATTTCTCAACCGAGTTCCAACGCGCATTCGTGAAATATGTTCGGAAAACCGCCAACCCAGACTTTTTCGCGATAGGAGAGTACTGGACTGGACATTTACCATCCCTTCTGGATTACCTCAAGAAGGTAGAGTACGATCTCGTTGCATATGATGTACCTCTCCTGGAGCGATTCTCCAAATTGTCCCATGCACAGGCACCAGACCTCCGCGGGATTTTCAAAGATACATTGGTACAGTGTCGGCCGGACCACGCTGTGGTAAGTTTCTCTCGATGCCCGACGCCCGACTAGTAACACTCAGCTAACTTCTCCAGACCCTTGTTTCGAATCATGATACGGTAAGTACGAATTGTGTCTGGATCTTGGCGCATGATTACTTTTGTACCTAACTCTCCGCAGCAACTAGGACAAATGCTTGAGGTAAGGCGACCTTCCCCATTCATAATGATTGAAGATAGCTAATCAACCCCAGACCCCGGTATCGCAATCCTTCAAATTACTAGCATACGCACTGGTCCTCCTCCGCAAAGAGGGTCGCCCATGCGTATTCTGGGGTGACCTGTACGGGATACGAGCGAATGTGGACAACCCAATGACACCAAGTTGCAACGGCCTTCTTCCCGTACTAACACAAGCCCGGAAACTCTATGCCTACGGCGAACAGCAGGATTATTTCAACCAACCCAACTGCATAGGTTCGCTTATCCCTTGCTCCGCTTGATACTCAGCCCCATTATGGGGGATACCAAGCCATTTTCCCAGATCTAACCGTGGTATAGGATTCGTCCGCTACGGAAACGCCCGTCACCTATCTGGACTTGCCTGCGTTATCAGCAACGCTGGTCCTGGTGCGCAGCGCATGTTTGTCGGTCAACATCATGCATCCGAGCAATGGATCGATATATTACATCCAAACATGAGACCTGTCATTATCAACAAGAAGGGCTATGGAAATTTCGGTGTCCAGGCGATGAGTGCCAGTGTCTGGGTTGATGCGGCTACAGTGGACCGGGATGGTCTCAAGAGGGACTTGTATGTATACGTTCCCATCCTTGCTTCGCCGAAAACTCCGTACTGCTTTCGAGATTGTGGCTTGATAACTAACTCCATTGTTCTATCTAGTAATGTGAATATCTACGATAACTAATCTTTTGTTGGGTTTGGGCGCAAGCCACATACCCGGGGGCTCTTCTTCTCTGGCAAAAATTATGTACAATAATACATATCTGTGATAA